ATGTTGTCCAGAAGCTATGACACTCACGCGCTTTGCTGACGTGACTCGTGAAGCTTTATTGATCACAGTTGTCCTAAAGCTGTAACGTGTCGCCCTATGGTATGCGTCATCTCGCAGGCTGGGATCACCACAGTACCATTGCACTAATACTTTCAATTTAGATTACTATTCGTTTTGTATATTCTAATTGCAGGCATGAGTAGAGCAGCAGCAGCAGCGAAACGGCGATCACGGCAACAAACAATGCTTCCATGTTTCCTTAGTAGTGTACATCCATTCGACTGTGTGTGTGTGAAGCTCATCCCTTCAGTTCGCCTTTTCGTCCGTCCAACGTATTGCGCACCGTTGCACGAACGCTGTCCATAGGGGAATAAAAACTGATCTTTTGGGAAAATCGGTTTATCGAAAGGTTGATTTATTTTTGAGAATAAGTTGGAACATAAACGAAATCCAAACGTCGAATTCAGTCCTAGAATAGACTTCTCTAGAAGTGTGCTATTTTAAGACCCTTAATTACCAATCACGGAACAGTGAATGAGGAATGGGGTTTGCCCTCGTGGAACTGAATGAAGTCCAGCCGGACTGGCAATCGCCAACACACACACACACACACACGCACACACACACACACGCACACACACACATGTTTTAGAGTTCCAAAGTGCTGTCGAACTTTCTTGTCTGTTAGAAACACAAGTTGAGTCGCTACCCGATCACCATTCAACGGAATGTTCACTAAGTATTCAAGAATCGTACACACGGATATGCCTTCATGTTTTGATCTCAATTCATCATTGCCATTCGGTTTTGCATTTGACACTTGTTTCCTAGGCATCCGTGTGAATGGTCAAAAAGAAGATTCCTTATCTCATTCTCCTCGCTTCCTTGTCGAGCAACAACAACAACAACAACAACAACAACAACAACAACAACAACAACAACAACAACAACAACAACAGGTTCAAGTTAAGTCAAAGTAAGCTTTATGCACCTGTAGGTTGAATTTTTAGTGATTTTTCACGATAATACAGTGGAGCTGAGGTGAATGACCTCCCAGTGTGGATAGGTTAATTTTAAAAAAAACGGCAGAAAACTGAACACAGGAAGACGATAGTGACGGATAAAAAAACGAATAAATAAACTAACTCATGAGGTGTTCAACCAAACCTGTAATAATAGGTGCCCGACTTACTAGAAAGCGAGCAAGAAAAGGGAGGATGCGGTTTCTGTATGCGACGGTGTGTGCGGGAAGCAGCCTATAATGAGAGCGGGTACGGGGGTTTGTCAAAGATTTAGTAAGTTCTTTGTGCAACCAGTGATCTTCGTTGTTGAAGATTCTGCATCGATGTGTTTGCACACAATAGAATCAACCAGAACATATTTGGTTATGCCATTACATCGAGATAGGAGTTTTATGGATCTGGAAATTGATACGAAATCTTTTTCTTTTAGGCCGAGAAAAATACAGGGGGACAGTACACCCAATGAGGGATGATGCATGCTACTATGCTACCAAGCCTGAAAACATAAAACCAGAGTTTACGAACCTTGTTGTGAACGTTCTCTACATGTGAGGTCCAAGAGAGGTTGTTGGGTAAAAAGACTCCGAGGTATTTAACAGAGTCAGCTTTGGGAATGCTGTGACTGTTAACTACTAGATCCGGTAAATTACTAAAGGTAGTTTGATAGCGGGAGCCAGATTTAAGGCTGAAGGGAACGTCGACACATTTGGAAACATTAAGAAACAGTGATCGGGGTAAAGACCAACAAAAAACGTCATTCAGGCTGCTTTGAAGTTGATGGAAAGAAACATCAGTATTGGGGGGGCACCCAATCACCACATCATCGGCATACTTACAGGCAATAAAGTTGGTGGGGCCAGGCAGGTGGTTTATTTACAGGGGAAAAAAAGAAGGGGGACAAAATGGCACCCTGGAAGACACCAAAGTTAACATAGGAAGAAGATGACTTTTACTATTGCATGAGGTAAATTGCGTCCTAGAAGAGAATTAGTCGACGAGAACGTTTGACACGTCGGATCCTGAGCCAAAGTCAGCAATGAGAATGCGACGATCAAGCGAACCAAAGGCGTTGACGTAGAGAAGAAAAATAAGGCGAACAGTTTTAGCACTTGTATCAAGAACTGAGGCAACAGAATGGACAACATACGCCAAGAACAACAACAACAACAACAGGTTGTTGATGCTTTCAGTGAATTGAAGCAAGCCTTTCCCGGGATCAATATCAAAAGAAAAGACCATATGGCAATACTGCACGACTCATGTCTAGGACGATTTCGCTGCATCTCAACATGGTGCTTAGAGCAGAAAACACAATATTTACATGGGGATTTAGCATGGCAACAAAGAAGAGTAAAATACGATGAAACAGACAAACAAAAATATAAACTAACATAAAATTCTTTTTTTAGACACAAGGGGGGCCTCCATCTGTTGATAGCAATCGCTCATGCAAACCTTAGCAATCTTGCTATTCGTGACCAGTAAATAATAAATCCGAAAGGCCTCGATGCCTCGGTCGATCTGATGTTGCGTTATCGGAAGATGTCGAGCTATGGCTGATGATAGAGTCTTGTGTAGTTTCGACCGTTGTTTCTATGCTGCGGGCTTGACCCCGATTGCGTCATCCGACTTTGGATCCAATTTGGAATATGTTCAACCACCCCGGTACGTAATGGTCACTTTGTTCGGCCCACGTAAGTCGCTTTGTACCCACATTGGAATTTGTAGATCAGATTTGAGTTGGCTTTCAGTGAATGCCTGAAAATGACCTCGGTATCTTGTGGTCATAAAGCCCAAGTGACAGCTGGGTTGGTGGTCAGTGCGATGTGAAACCGTGAGACTAGGATAAGGTAGCTGATCACAACGGACAGCACGAAAATCGAATGATGGATCAATCACCAAGGCTATTGTGTCGAAGCCATTCACATTGTTCGCACAGATCGGGGTTGAGGGTCTGAATGGCTATGGATTGTCTGGGCAAAGTTCCATAAATTTGTATTAGTGTGTGCGTGGGACGGGGGATTGGTTGGTTATATAAAAAAAATTAATCGTGAACTGAAAAGCTGTTTCAACATGATTGGGTAAGGTTGTGAAAGTCAGGTGGTGAAAGTCATAACTCTAGAGGCTAGTGAAGAGATGAGCGAGGATCGATACTAGCAACAAGCTCGCAAAGATGGGTTGTACTATATCGTGTATATTCGAAATGAGAAACCGTCTGATCAGCTGCCCGGTGGCCGAGTGGGTGTCATGCTTGCGTTCTGCCTATGAGGTACCGGAATCACGATCCCCAGTTGGGTCGATGAATTCGCGCACGGCTGATGAGACCAGCCAAGTGGAGACAGTGTTTCCCA